GTGGGGGTCCGCTCGGCCGGCGCGCCCTGCCCCCGGCCCGCCCGGCCCCTCCCCTCCCCGGGGCTCACCGCCATCTTGGAGGGGGGTCCCCGGAGCCTGCGCAGGAGAGAGCGTGGAGAACGCGCCGAGGTTGCCGCCGCCATCTTGGAGAGGGGCAGCGCCGCGGCCGCTCCCGCCCGCCCTTTCCCGGAAGGTCCTCCCTCGCCGCGCGCGCCTCCCCGGATCGGCGGCGGAAGTGCGCGGCGCGTGGCGGCCGCCCCTTCCTCTCGGCTCGGCGGCGGCGGCGGCGCGCGCGGAATCGAGCGCGCGGGAGGAGGGAGCGGCACGAGAGAGTGAGCGCGCGACCTCGCCCCGCCCACGGCGCCCCTCGGCGGAAGGGGCTGGGGGGTGGGGGGTCCCGCGCGGCGCCGTCCTCGGCCGATTGGCCGCGAGGCGCGCGCCGCTTGCCGGGGGCCAATGGGGGCCCCGCAGGTTTTGGAGCCCTCGGCCAATGGGGGCTGGCGCCGTGCCGGGCGCGAAAACGGAGTGCGCCGATTCGCTGCTGCGCGGGCGTTCCTCTCGGGCGGCCAATGGGGTTGATCGGCGGGAGGGGCGGTGCCGTTGCTGCCGGCGGGCGCCATTGCTGCGGGTGAGGCGTGAGGAGTTGAGGGGTGGGGAAGCGGAGGGGAGGTCCCGAGCCGAGCGAATTCCTTTCCGTTACGAGGTGAGGGCGGCGATGGGTGCCGAGATGGAACAGCCGGGAGAGGTGGCGGGCTCCGCCGGCGGCAGGGTGTACCTGGACCACAACGCTACCACCCCGCTGGCCCCGGAGGTCGCGCAGGCCGCGGACGAGGCGGCTCGTCGGGCCTGGGGCAACCCCAGCAGCTCCCACCCTGCAGGTAAGGCGGAGGGGCGGCGGTCGGGCGGGGCGCGGGGCCGTGGGAGGTGGAGCTGCCGGGCTGTGTCCCGCAGGCAAGAAGGCCAAGGAGCTCATCGAGAGTGCCCGGGAGAGCCTGGCGAGGCTGGTGGGGGGCCGGCCCGAGGACATCATCTTCACCTCGGGGGGCACGGAGGTGAGGGCATATGGCGGCGAATGGCCACCGTCTCTGTGCGGAGGGCATGGGGAGAAAGGGTGCCGCGCGTCCCCTGGGTCTTAATTCTCCCCTCTCTCCTTCTCAGGCTAACAACATGGTCATCCACACGGCCCTGAGGTACTTCCGAGAGAGCCAAGGGCAGGGCCGTGCCGTGCCACACATCGTGACATCCAACGTGGAGCACGACTCCATCCGCCTGCCGCTGGAGCAGCTGGTGAAGGAGAGCCTGGCGGGTGAGAGGGGTGCTGGGAGGGAGCAGGGAGGGATGGGATTGTGGGTATTTGGCCACAGCTGCCCTGAAATGGCACGAACTCCTGACACGTGCCCACATTCCTGCAAGCTGGGCATGGTAGCTGGCTGGTATTAGACACTGCTGACCCAAGAGCTGCAGGACTCTGTCTGTATGCCAGCTGCCCGCACAGCCCTTCTGCTCTTCGTTAGTGTTTGGGCAGCACTGAGGGACTTCTCAGCAAACCTGGGGACTTGTTTCTTATCTTGCAGAAACCACCTTTGTGCCGGTGTCCCCACGAAGCGGGCGGGCCGAAGTAGATGATGTTCTTGCGGCAGTGCGGCCCACCACCTGCCTAGTTACCATCATGTTGGCCAATAATGAGACAGGGGTTATCATGGTGAGTCTCTGGATAGCAAGTGGGATGGGATGCAGCCAAGAAGGTGTTCGGGAGACATCCTTGTAAGAAGGTGTTTAATAAGACAGAGGAAGTGGTTCCTCTGATGCGGACTCCCTTCCTGTCAGCCTGTTGCAGAGCTGAGTCAGCGCATCCGTGCCCTCAACCAGAGGAGAGCGGCGGAGGGGCTGCCCAGGATCCTGGTGCACACGGATGCAGCACAGATGATTGGCAAGGGGCGCGTGGATGTGCAGGAGCTGGGGGTGGATTACCTCACTGTTGTGGGGCACAAGGTACAGCTTTGCTCATGAGGCTCAGACACCACTTGCGTTTGTGGATGTCTCTGGTCAGCCCAGGGCAACTAGCAGAATGTTGCTGGGAAAGCACTGTGGGGCACAGCTGTGGGTTTCCAAATCTCCCAGATGCTGAGATCCCAGGAAATCCCCCAGCAGCTGAGCAAAGCTGGCTGGCGGGGATCATGCTGGTCAGGGAGATGTGTCTGGAAGGGAAAGTAGGAGGAGACTGAGGCCTGAGGACAGCTCTGCAGGGCACTCACTTTGTTTTAGGTAGCTGTCTGTCACCGGGGCACCTGGCACTGTGTCTGCAGGGTCAATGTGATTTTTCGGTTTTGTTTTTTTACCTGCAGTTCTATGGCCCACGGATTGGCACACTGTATGTGCGTGGTCCTGGCACCACCACCCCACTGCACCCCATATTCTTTGGAGGTGGGCAAGAAAGGAATTTCCGACCAGGGTAATGTGGCTATTCACTGGCAAAATTGCACTGGGCTGCTCAGCCTGAGCTGAGGTGTCAGCACTATCATTTCCGTCCCTGGGCTGGGGAGATGGTTGGTAGTGGGAGCTTCTTCAAGTGCAGGCTTTGCATAGGTGGAGTAACAGGGTGAGCTGTCCCCTTCCCAGCTGTATCAGAGAAGCTCCCTGTGGTGAGGGGTCCCATATGGGGAGAGTTTGTGTCCTGAGACTGGAGAGTGGACTAGAAGGTCCAGGTAGATAAGTCACTGCTCACTCTTCTTTTCCAGCACTGAGAACACCCCGATGATTGCTGGCCTTGGCAAGGTGAGTTGGAGATAGGTGAGAGGTTCCTCATGGTTGCTGCCTGGCAAAGCCAGCATGGACACAGCCTGCTGCACTCCTCAGTCTTTAAAAATGACATACTGAGTGCAAGAGGACAGTTGAACTCCAGGAAAATGAGATGGGAGTTTCTGGTGCCAGCCTAAGGAGCTGCTTCAAAGTACACACTGCAGACTTTGCCCTGCAGACTCCCTAGCAGTGGGCAGTCACAGCTAATGCTGCACAGGGCACTGAGCGCCTGTTGGGAGACAGGAGGAGTGGCAATTGCAGAGGTGGTTCCTGGGCTGCAGTTGCACGCTTGGGGGCTGCATGTGGAGGGAGTTGTTTAAAGGTTACTGACAGAACCTGTCTGTGTCTTTTCAGGCTGCAGAGCTGGTGAGCAGGAACTGGGAGGCCTATGAGGCCCACATGCGGGATGTTCGGGACTACCTGGAGGCCAGGCTAGAGGTGAGCGGATCTGGCTCCGGTTGTTTCTCCCCTTCCTGGATCTCAGCCTGCAGAGGGCAGAGCCCTGGGTTGAAGCAAGTATGTCCTTCTGGCTCAGCCAGGACGCAGCTGCTCATGTTCTCATAGCCCTCTGATTTCTCCAGGCATCCTTTGGGAAGACGAGGATCCACTTCAACAGCCAGTTTACAGGCTCCAAGCGACTCTGCAACACCTGCAATGTCTCTATCTTGGGCTCAGGCCTTCAAGGTAGCTCTGTTCATATGTCTCTTTTGTCCAACTTCCCCACTGTGCTGCAGCATGCTGCATGCTTGAGAGCCGTGGGAGCTCAGCCATGGCTTGGGCAGAGAGTCTCAGGGGGAGACTGGGCACTGAGAGATTTGTGCTCGTGTGTCTTGCAGGGCACAGGGTGCTGTCTCACTGCAAGATTCTTCTCGCCAGTGTTGGGGCTGCCTGCCACTCTGAGAAAGGAGATCGGTAAGCAGCTGGCCCTAGCAGGGCATCTTTTCATAGGGTAGAGGATGGGAGGGAGGGAGATAAGGCAGGGGAAGAGACTGTGGGTGGCTGTTGGCATCACTGCCCTGCAGCAAAGTGAGTGCAAAGCTTTCTAGAGAGGCTGAAGGAGGCGAAGGAGGTCATTGCAGGAACCACAGCTGGAACGCATGACTGCTGCTGGTGATGCAGCTGAGATTGGAAGTGCTCCTCAGTGCCTGGCGCTGCCATAGTAGAATCTGCCTTATGTCTGTGTGGGTCTGGCTCACCCACTCAAGCCCTTATTGGGTCTCCAAGAGACTCCTTTGGTTGCATATGGGACACCAAGTCCTTTTGGGCTGATGTAGAGCAATGCCATCTGGAATTGCCAGTCCATGGCGACACTGGGGAGCTTCATTCTTGGAGGAGAAAAGCCAGATCTGCCACAGGGAAGCAAGCTGTGTGGAGCAGATGCCTTTTCCTGGAGTGCATCTGTACAGACGTGCTCCTTATTCAGGCTCTGCGAGGCTGTCTGGTGATGCGTTTTCTTGGTTTTCAAATTAAACCCACTCACCTCCACTTTTGTTTCAGGCCCTCCTCGATTCTGCTGAGCTGTGGGATCCCCTGCGACGTGGCGCAGAACGCCTTGCGGCTGAGTGTGGGGCGAGACACCACCCACGCGGACGTGGACCTGGTTGTGCAGGACCTTGTGCAGGCTGTGGCACAGCTTGGCAAGGACCAAGCCTCATAGGCCCCAGGAGTCACTCCTTGCCTTCACCCAGGTTCTTGGGGTAGGATTGTGCTCTGCTTCACTCCTGGGTGCTGGCTGTGGCAACCCCTTTTATGCGGGTTGTACAGGGGCAGGATGGTGACCAAACTAATAGCAAGTCTTTGCTAACAGGATTTGCTCCTCCAGTCTTATGTCCAATCCTCTAACTCCATGGCTGCAGACTGAGTCAATTTGGAATCGGGATTTGGCAGGAATAACCTTCTGCCTGATAGCCCAGCCAAACTGACACAGCCTCCGGCTTGGGATCACTGATTCAACATTGTGGAAGTGGTGGCTGGAGGAGGAAGCAAGATAGTCTTTTTCAGCAGCAGTGTGCTCTCAGGTCTGCTTAGCTGTCTGTTGCCTTGCACTCGCAGTGATTGCAGTATGGCTGGTTTGCCTCCACAGTGTGTGCTGCCTTAGCAGAAAAGCTTGCAAGCACGTGCTGGTGGCAGCAGGGAGCTGGGGGCTGTGCTGAGGAGATGGCTTTGCTAATTTGGGGCTGGAGCAGCTCATCTAGTTCTTGCTGAGGACTGTTGTCTCTATTGCATGGTGCAGACCTATTTTGGGAGCATCGCTATCAGGCATTCCTTGCTTGCCAGCACATTTCTGCATGTGTCAGAGTCTCAGAGCTTGGCTGCCTCCAGAGCATAACAGGCGTGGAAGCCAAAGGAGCTGAAGGCTTTTGCACTGGTTGCTTTCCACAAAGGAAGCTGTCCTGCTGTCTGATCACTGAGAGAAAGAAAGACCATCTGTCCCAAGGAGAAATGAATTTATAGCGACACAGCAAGAGGCTGGGCTTGGGTACTGCACTGCCCCTGCCAGAGCACACAGAGCACAGAGCACAAAAATTTTCTGGCTGGGAAAGTGTTGGGTATTGCTTTCCCAGCGCTGTATTGCATTTCTTGCTCCCTGTCCTTCCTACAGTGGGCAGAGCTCCTGTTGCTGGCTCCACGTGCTCTGAAAAGAAGCATGGCTGTTGCAGGTGCCCTAAAGTGTGCCAGTGCCCGAGGAAACGTGTCACCCCTGCGTGGCCAAGGCAGTTCTGACATTAGGAGGACATGGGTGTCAAATGCATTGGGAGTGCTGCAGCTGGGCTGACTGATTTCTGGGAAACTGGTCTTCTGATATTCATAGGAATAAAAGTGATTGCCACTGCTGTGGCATTTTCCCATGTAAAATGTATTTTCCCTGGTGTTTTGGGGGAAGCTGGACTGGTTGTGGCCATAAGAGGGATGGTTTTTCCCTCTGAAAACACTGGTGTCCCAGAACTGCCACAGGCGCAGTCTGCTGGCACGGGGAGGTGTCTGCTGATCCTGGCTGCAATGCAGCCCTAACCCCAGGGCTCCCCATCTGCTGTCAGCTGGCAGGGCTCACGACCAGCAGTGCTAGGGAGGGGGCAGGGAAGGGGCAGTGGGGGGGGCCCTGATCACTCCTTGCTGCTGGTGTTGCCCCTGAGCAGGAAAACACAGGGCAGCAATAGTGACATACTGGGATATTTTCAGAGGCCATAGTGTCCTGGGACTGCTTAGGAACTATGGTAAGAACAAAGCCTTCAACTTCTCGTCTTCTAGTTTCCTTCTGGGCTTATTCCAGCGGGATCAATTGCACCTCTGAGTGGCCGAACAGCTCTCAACTTGGAACGTTTTCCTGTTTCAGATGTAAGCCGCAGCATGCCCTCAGCCAAACCACTTCTCAAGTCCTTGTCTCAGCTCTAGACAGCAACTGGGTTCATCACGCAGATGCCAATCCAAGTCCCAGCACCGCACCCCTTGCCAGGGAGACAACTTGAGGGTGTGGGGGGAGGTTATTACTCATGGCACTATGATGGTCAGGGTGTGCTGAATTCATGGTACAGCATGCCTGCCACCTGCCTTTCAGTTGCTTCCCAGATATCCTCGATATCTGGAACAGCATCAGTGTCTGTGTTTACTGACACCTCCTGCTACTAGGTGGGCTTTGCACCCATTCCTCCCTGCTACCCTGGTGGTCTCAGGAGCCTGAGGCCCCTAGGGCCAGTTTGCAATGGCTCAGGTTTTCCATCTGAAAAAGTACTGTGATATGTCTTCTTTGTTGTTCTGTTTGAGGAGGTCAGAATCAATGGACTTGTAGTGTTCTTTATTGTCAGACTGTTTACCAACAAGGAAGATTTATTCATTATTATTTATTTATTTATTATTATTTATTCTGTTCAGGGACCCAGATTCAATCTATCCCAATTATTGCTGTGGTTCACCAGATCATATATACTAACTGAGCCATTCCTGGTAAGCAGCAATGGCCCCCTCCTTGCCTGGTGGCACAGGCTGCAAAACAAACCCACTGTGTGCTCAGACTCCTGCTGTGCCTTTTCAGCTGGCTCCCAGCAGTGCCAAGGAGTTCCCAGAAGGACAAGAAAGATGAGAGCAAATGCCTCTGATGCCTGACCTCACATTCCTTACTGATGGTCATGGCAGAGTAGGAAAGATGTGTGGTAGGGATTAATGCAATTACTAGGCTGCATTTAATTGCAGAATGCACAACTGTGGACGCAGGTCTTTCTCTTTCCTAGCTGTTAGCAGGGCCAGGAATGCCATCTGCCACCATGACACTCCAGTGCTTTTTGTCCATTTAATTTTTAACTGTTTTTTAATTGTTAGGACCCAAGCACGCTGACTCAGAAAATTACTGAAAGGACACTAAGCTTGCAGTACTTCTTTGGGTTGGAGAATGTGTTTAGGGCTGACTGTTCTGGGAATGGTTTTGCAGTCACTAGATGCCTCCCAGGCTGTTTCTTGTAAACACCATTGCTCACACCTCAGTCTCAAATGCAGCTTTTATTTTTCCCTCTCTTGCTTAATAGTTGAAACCTCTTTTGGAGAAGGTGGCTCTAGAGAAGGAATACTGCCCTGCTCCATAGGTAGATCTTTTATTATCAGGAATTTTCCTGGAGCTCTCTTTCAGAGCTGTAGCAGAATTGCAGATCCACTCAAGGGCATGGGGGAAAAACACTTCTAGAGGTCTGGGCTTCCTGTGTCAGTTCAGATAGAATCCTAACCACAGAGCACAAAAAGCTTTACTGATACATTCTCTTGTTTATATAGACACCAGAAACACAAGTGATAATCACAGAACTATTAGCATTACTTCATTTGGAATATTACAGCCAAAGTGTAAGAAGTGTTACAGACACCCTGGTTGACCATTTTAATGTTTTTACTGCTCATCTTCCTACTACCACAGCGCACAGTAATGACAGATGCTAGTGGATCCCTCTGTCTCTATATTACTTTAGCAGAGTAAGTGAGGCAGAAGAGGCCTACAACTTGTCCTGTGCTCTGCCACCCCCCGTGCTGGAGACAAATATCCTTTCATCACATGACAAACAGTGACTGTATGCGCTAGAACAAATTCACCTGTCATAGAAGTGTGGAAATGCCAACATTGCTACATCAGCTCTGAAGTTACACAGTAGAAAGAGGACCTGACCAGCACAGTAGGACACAACAAAGTTGGAATATGTTACTTTCATGTGGTCGCACACGTAGCACATACAACAGTAACGCATGTCCAGAACCGGACAACAAAACTGCAGTTCATTTAATGGAAGAATCCACAATCTCCTGATAATCTTGCCTTCCTAAATTCTTCCAGGACAGTTTATAACATGCAAGGAAAAAAACACTAACCAAAATAACTGCTCCCCCAACAAGATCGTAAGTACCTGGCAAGATGCGCAGCACGATGAGCTGCAGGACCATGGCAATGACTATCTCTAGGTGCTGTACAGTGCTGACCAGAGCAGGGTGGAACTTGCTCAAGGCGTAGTAGACCCCCAGGAAGGCTGCTGTGGAACACAGGCAGATGGCGAGCAGATAGCTCCAGGTTTCTCCATCCAGCGGGACGATTGGCTCCTGAAGTAAGAACATGGTGGATGCTCCCCATACCGTTCCTGTCCAACTAAAGGTGAACAGTGCTGTCCACATGCTGATGTTATCTTTGATTGACCTGTAGACTATCATGGAGAGAGCGGTGGTCAAGCCTGCCATAACAGTCATGGTGTAGCCAAAAGCTTCCTTCCAGGTGCTCAGCAGAGAGTTTTCTTCCTTAACGATGTTGGGGATCATGACCAGACAAACACCAAACACGCTGCCAACTACCGTAACTATGTCTACGTAAGCCATTCCTTCATCGACCAGCAAAAAAGCCAAAATGGCACTGAACACTGTAGTGGTAGCCCTCCACATAATGGTTCCATTACTGGGGGGAACTATAGAGAAAGAAGTGTAAGCACACGTAATGGAGATAACGTTGCAGACCCCATAGAAGAAGAGCCGCAGTCTGTACCCTTTGGGGCCAAAGGGTGGCTCGTGGTAGTAACACACAGCAGTAATGGACAGCACTTGTAAGACTGAACGGATGAAAATCAACTCTAGTGATGGCACTTTGGAACGATCAGAAATTAGTCGTGTAATTAGAGCCACGCATCCGTGAGCCATGGCAGATCCAAAAAGGACTATCCACATTTTCCTTGACTGCAGGATATTTCCTTCAGGAAAGCTCTGGAAATGCCCCGTCTCACTGGGTTTGGGCAGTTGTGCTGGCTGAAGCTGCGTGTCTGTCGTACCAAAAAAGGTCCTTTCTCTTTTTTTCCCAGCGTTCAGTAGTCTTGTCTTTGGACTGTCCTCCATAAATACCCCTGTGTCTTCATTGCCATCCTCATCTCCCTCTTCTCCTGGCTGGGGATAATGAGATGTATATTTCACTGTTACCGTGTTGGGATGAATTTTCACTCGCTTTTTGACTGGATGTTTTTGGGAAGGTGAATCCATTTCCTCAGAGAAATGTCCTGGTCTTAAGGAAAAAACAGGGATGCACCATTATTTTTCATTTCACGAATACTGAGAGATTCATTAATATGCAAATGCTGTTAGTGATAACAAACTATTTTTAAGAACCATGACCAAGTACACATAGATTGTTGTTGGTTTTGCTTTAGCTCCATTTTATTTGCCAACTCTTGAAAATGGCACATTCCCATTATGTATGGGTTGTACAACGTCCCAGTCTGTGTTCTAACGAGAAAGGTCTCTCGCTAAAGCTTTTTGGACACTAAATACCCTGTAATGAATTATACTTGTTAATTGCTTGCTAATTTTAAAAGATTACAGGAGTTTGGCAGGAGACGACAGCCTCATTTCTAACCCCCAGATAACAGCACAGGGAAACAGTATCCCTGAGCGAGTCAGCCTACCAAGAAACAACACATTTTTGAACAATACTTGACAATGTTAAAATACCTTCTTCTTTTCACGTCTTATTTCCAGTGACTGACTTGGCAACAGACTTGTTCTTCAAGTCTCATTCAATGCTCATTTTGTTATTCGCAGTCCCCTGCACCATGTGTGCAAAGAGCCCTTCCAGTCAGGCAGCAGCAGGGAGAATGGAACCTTCCTGTAGGAGGTGCAGTGTGCCCCACCAAATACACCAACAAACACGCAGACTTTACCTGCTCTTGAGAGGTTTGATTCCAAGCCAGAATGAGAAAACACTTCTCCATCATCTACATCTTTGTCCACGTATCTAAACAGAAACAGTAAAAGCTCTGATACCAAACAGAACAGGGCACAGTAATCTTAGCAAAGAACGCTCGAGGCAGGCATGAGACATTCTGATTTTGTTGAACATCTGAGACGTGCTATGAGGCCATGCTCCTCTGCAACTGGTAACATTGGAGCACTGCTGGAGAAGGAAAAAAAAAAAAGGAAAAGGCAACCAAGTGTAATCTTGCTAAAATCATGCTTCAACTTGATCTCGGAATTACTGAGTGAATTAATCTAAAGAGCAAATGGTGGCTTGTGAGCACAAGGTTCCTACAGTTTAATAACAAGAAAATTCACCATCTGATGCCCACTGTCCTGCCTTTACCTCTGCAGATGAGGGGATGCCCAAGAGGGTTCATCCTCCCCAGCAGCTGAGAGCAGCTCAGCCCCACAGGCCACAGCAGTTTGGCCTCTGGTGTGCATGACAGCTGTGGGGGGGCTGGGCTGCAAACAGCAGCACCTCGCAGGGACACCCGCAGACAGAACCCACATAGAAGGCAATGACAGGAAGGTATCTACGAAAGAACAGTCTTTTGGTCAGGGTGAGAGTTTCTTAACCCCTTGCTTATACCCAAGCAAAGCTGTATCCCAGCTCTTAGATTGAGTGGTTGGTAGGGGCAGAGAGGAATGGGGCTGAAAGTGCACCCAGGACACCATTAAGTGGTGGAGAATCCAGGATTCCCATTAATGCACAGTATATATCCTGCAGGAAACCTGAGAGGCACCAGCTGAAATGCCAAGGTGAGTAAATAGAGGGTAAGAGCTGAGCATCAGCTGCACTCGAGGGCAGTGTGAACAACCCATCTGGCATTTAAAAACTACCAGCATTGTGCCCCAGTCTTATCTGCTGCTGCTTATGTTTCTTCTGTAGATAAGCTGTTAATTTCAGATTCTTTTAACAAGCAAAAGCAAAATGAACAGAATGAGTCCGGGAAGGCAGTGCCTTTTACAAGCACAGCTTTTCCTACCTAGTGTTTTCTTTGTGTTTTATATTCACTATTCTACCTTGCTCTCCCCACGTCTTAAAACGAAGACTTTGATCTCCACAATGCATGGGGAAAGTGGGAGGACAAAAATGCAAACAGTGCACACGAGGTGTTGTTATTTGAGCAGTAGTGGATCCAGCCTGTGTAAACTCGGTCCTCATCCAGAAACAGATGAGTACATGCTGCAATTGTTGGCTCATGGAAAAAAAATAACAACCCCCCCAAAATGCATTTCTCTAACTGTTAGCATACTGCAGCATCTTTATTTTCTCCTGAGTTTTGGTGACATTTTCTTCCAGCAAATACAGAAAAGGGAAAAGAGATGAAATGCATTTGCAAACGTAGTGCTGGACCTGCATAATGCATTCAGAGAGCTCCCTGAAGGGAAACAATAGCTGATGGGCACGCAGCTCAAAATGGCTGCACGGCTCAGCGCTCCCTTCAGCACTACCAGCACTGGCAGCAGGGAGGTCTGCAAAGCAGAAAGGAGAACGTCAGGAATGAGGAGCAACGAGAAAAAAAAAAACTGCAGTGCTTCAATCACAACTGCATTTCACTGACTCAGGACTGGGTATGTGACGTGCTCTGCTGTCTCACAGGACACCTGTTTGTACATTCGGGCCATCTGCATTTCTTAACAGTGAGAATTTCAGATGGGACTGAGGTGGGTGCATATCCCAAACCCACAGTGGTTGTCCTGCAGGCAAATCTAAAACAAATGGAAGTTAACACAGCTTTTGCAGAAAACTTGCCACTTCTGCCAATGCCTTTTGTGGAGATCACATGAAGCTCGTGGGGTTTTTCTGCTTTGTATCCAGAGACATAAAACGGTGTATTTGCATTTCTTCTGAAAAGTATAATTCAAGTTGAATGAAACAGAAGGCTGACAATTAAATCCTGTGCAAAGTTCTCACGTTGCATAGCAAAACAAACTCTTGATTCAGACACCGACCTGACACCCGTTTAAACTGGCAGCTCTTGCAAGTCGCTGACTGCCAACATGGGAGCGCGTTCCCATGGGTGTGCAAACCATCACAACGGACTCACTGAGTGTCACACACCATTAATACAATACACCGTGACTTCTTTTTTAAAAGAACCCCTCCTCACCCCTCCTAAAAAACCAAAAGCAGGACATGCACGCTGATCAGCAATTACAAGGTAGGTAGGAACCCACGACTGCGTGCCATTCAGTGCTGAGGAGTGGGAGACTGCGTTTGCCTTCCTGTCATGCCTGGGGGAATTCAGCCTTTGACATCTGACTGCCGCTTACCATCAAAGATTTTTAATAGCCCCACAGGAAAATACTCTCAACCTATGGCAGGTTAGGCCAAAATCAGTCAAGTGAAATGTAACACGACAGATCTGCGGGCACGGCAACCGCAGCTGCTAACAGTCAGAAACGCGACGCCAGCCATCCCCGCGCCGGCAATGCCGGCCTGGCAGTACGCTCCCTATCGCTGCCGGGATATCGCTCCGAGCCCAGGCAGAGGAAGGCTGTCCGAGGGCTGTAAGCAAACTCTACCAGGCTACTACAGACCAGTAATTCCCGCTCACGCATGCAGCAGGCACAGCGCATACCTACACGGCTCCGTTACGGGACCCGGCTCGTCCCGCCGTCACACCGCTTCTGCCGGCAGCGCGCTGACTCCTCGCAACGCGGCTTTTCCTACGGGCTGCAGCAGAGCCCGGCGCGGAGCTCCCGGCCTGCGGGCTGAGCGGCGCGGGCTGCGGCACGCGGCTGGAGCGGCAGGCAGTTCAGTGCCGTGACACCGACACTGCCGGAGGGACCTTCATCTGTCCGTCCAGGCGGCCTGGCTACATCCGTGCACTTATTAAAGATCAGTGATACTCGAAGGAAGACTTTATTACGACCTGGCGGCGGACAGATGTTCCATCTCCTATTTCAGGAGCTGCAGTGACGCTAGCGGAGCTTTTCGGCGAGCGCCGCGCTGCTCATTCACCGCTTCCGACGCTCGGCACAGCCCGCACGCTGGCGGCACCAGGCGGTGCGGCTCCGCACGCGTCCGCTACCACCCGCCCTGCCCTCCCCGCGCCCCGCGGGCACTCACCGCCGCCGACGCACCGCCCTCAGCGGCCGCCGCGCGCCTCTCCCTGGCCGGCGGCCCTCGGCCTCCCGCGCCCTCGGCCGGCATCCCCGCTCCGGCCTCCCCCCCGCCGCCTCGAGGAGCCGGCCCCGCCCCTCCGTCCTTCTGTCGCGACATTCCGTCCCCTCCCCGCCGCCCGTCTCCCGTCGCCCGGACGACGCCCCGCCCCCTCGGCCACAGCGGCGCCCCAACGGCGCTACGCGACCGCGGCGCGGCGCATGCGCAGCGTTTTCGCGCGAAAGACGTTTGCGGCGCCCGGCTCTCGCGTGCCGCCGTCCCGACCCGCGGCGCCCCTCCGCCCCCCGCCCCTCCCCCCCTCGCCCCTCCCCTCCCGGCGGCGGCGGCGGCGGCGCGGGGCAGTGGCGGCGCGCGGCCACCAGGGGGCGCTGGGGGTCCGGCGCGCGGCGGCGG